CCCTCAGGGGTCCTGGCGTGAACATCTTGGCCAATTTTTTTTTACACGTCCTTGTGGAACGAGCTTGTGGATGCGTGATCTTGTACAGGTCCGTGTTGGGAGCTATTGACGAAGCCCTGCTGGAATCCTCGTCTTTATTTTTTTCTCACAAACATTTCCACAAGACCTCGGACAAAATTTTTATGTACCATTGGGACTTCCAAGAATGAACTCGGGACGCACAATTTGCGCGAGCCTGCGCAATCGAAATGCCAATGGACATGTCATAACAACCAGCGCACGCAGGAATTTAGGGGGAAAATGACACACACACACACACACAATCACACACACAGTCACACACACACACACGCGCAAACACATTGCTGAATGAGGAAGTGGTTTCCCCTGCATGATAAAATTATGATGTTGAAGTTGTCATCGGCTTGAGGGTTCGCAGCCTACGGGCCAATCGCGACGCTGCAAAAAGGCGCGGTGACATATTATGGCGGGAGGAAAAACCTGGTTGGACACCTGAAGCAGCCTCATGAAAACAATTGGTAGTGCTGTTCAATTACACATCACAACGTCTTCTTATTTATGCCTCATTAATGACTGTGGGGTAGGCGTCTTCTCAGCAGTGATCCCACAAACGCCTTCACTGCCTCCTGCTTGAACTTTCTCAGCTTGCAAAAATCGTTGAAAATGTTCTGTCCTACGCAACCACTAGTCACTAGCGGAATGTAATACAAACACGCACACACAAACACACAGACATACACACACACACACACATGCGCGGGTACAGAAATTTATCCATCTTGTTTGTGTCCCCGCCTTTACGATAACAGTAGAAACTTTTGCTTCCGCCAGTCCCAATAAACATTGTGAGTTTTGAACCACGCACAGATGGGAAGGGGGGAATGGGAGGGAACAAGGGCAGCCAGCCACAACAAACAACTGGAAAACGAGAGAAAAACAAACAACATTTCGCAACAACGAGAAAAAACACACAACAAGCGGGCAGCACAAAGGGAAAAAAAGGAGGGCAGGAGGGGAAAGGAAACACAGAGGGACCCAACCCTGACACACAGAAGAGCAAACAGCGCAAAGCAGAAAAAAACATGCATCCTGCATCAACGGGCCCGCCGGGGAGAAGAGGGAAGGCGCACCCAGGTATACCATGGTATACCCAAGTTGCAATAGTCGATTGTCGACCAACAAGTTTTAGTCTTAAATTTTCCAGCCATATGGTTTGCCTCTGTCTTGCGGCGTTTTCCTGTCATGTGACGTTTTGCAGTTGTCGTGATTTTCGCACAACAGTATTTTGCCAATTCCCACGGCGCCAGGTCACCGAGTCCGGTTAAGCTTCCGAAGTATTGCCATTACACCCATTTTGCATCGAAAAGTTCGCTCCAACTGAATGCACGCCACAAAGCGTACAGGCGGTCAGTCAGACTGGTGCCCGTCCACATTGCTGAATAAGTCAGTGACTTACTTTGTTTTGGTTTTTGATGTTGAGGTCGTCATCGCCTGAAGTTGTGTCCCCTAGGAACCCCTGAAACAACCCGATGAGAACAGTTGGTAGGGTTGTGCAGGTACATATCACGACGTTTTCCGATGCATCACCAAACAATGTGGACGTCTTCGTTGGCAATGATCCCACAAACTCTGTCACTGCCACTGTTTGAGCTTTGTTGACGTACTGGAATCGTTGAAAAAAATTGTCCCGCATGATAAATATCGCATTTCACACACACACACACAACGCGCGTACCGTGGCAACATAAAAGCCGTAGAGTTGAAAAGGATAACCCCCTTTTAATGGCACTGACTTGAGAAGTCGGCAACGTGCTGCGGATGGAACGTTTTCTGTGTGTCCGACACCAATCCCATTGGTGAAATTCTCCGAGTCAGTCAGCTGCCTCGCTAAACGCAAAACATGTTTGCAGTTTTGTTTGTAGCCAAGAAACCCTATATGCATACGCGTCATTCTGTTAGGGAGTTCACAACAAAACATGTTGGTTGATCCGCAAGTGTCGTATTTGTTTACTGACGAATAAAAAACGTTTCGCCTTTCCGATTTTGAAGAGTGCGCACGCCCTCACATTGGCAAGTGTTGTGTTTGTTTTGTTTGCTTTCCGACCACTCTGCTAGTTTGCAAGCGGGTTGGGTTTCAAATGAGCACACGTTGGCGTGAAACATTCTTTCAACGTGCTCTCAACATGCTCACAAAATGCAGCCCTCACCAGCCACGTTCAGCGAATTCTGAAACAATCGCGATGCCCATTGGCGATACATGTTTGAGTGGCTCAATAAAAACGGTTTCGATTCGATTAGGAAATTCATTGTGGTGCATTGTGGTTCAAATATGTTCAAACATTGACTACATGTGTGTTTTTTTCGTGACTTGTTGCCATGGTTTCCAGATGCTTCCAGAACCCGGGTATTCCTCAGGAACACCATTGGAAATCATTGACAACAACTAGAATTCCCATTGTTTTGTATGAATATGTTCCACGGTGCTGACAAATAGTTCCCAAAATGTTATGAATATAGTTTGAAGTTCCTAGCTCCCAACAGGACATGGCATTTATAATCATTTATATACAGGCAACAGCCCCAGACTATGGGAAATTAATATGAGTAAGTTCCTTTGGTTCCTGGATGCACCGGATATTTTTGTCATAACTAAACCAAACGCTGCGGTGCTACGCGATGTGCTACATCAACCGTTTTTTGGTGAAAAATGTTGCTGCATGTTCCCAACAACCATTGTGTGTGTTTCTTGTGGTGGGGCCTCTGCATAGCCCATCCATCGCTCTCAGGATGTTCCGGAAACGTTTTCTGTCTTCTTTTATGGCAAAAATTCAACTCTTGCTGAGCATTTCTACACTTTGTTGATTCCTTTGACATTACAACCTGCTCTTCAAAGTAAATATAGCGGGAATCACGTTGGAATATACCGCATGGATTCAATATGATTCAATGTGGTGCAATAACCATCTTGAAAAATATATGAGTCAATGGGAAGGATGACATCCCATATATGAAATGGAAAATAATATAAAATAATCCATTCATGTTTGAAACCACCAACCAGGAAATCGTGACACAACATGTTTTTTTCGCTGAGTGAGCTCAGGCTCTTAGGATCGAGATCCGTCTGCTGGGTTTCTGCTGTGACAACGTGCCACGCCGAACGCACGAGAAGTCCGACGTCCAACTCTGGCGACCACGCCATGTTCCAGTCGTGCAAATGGTGCAGAAGCATGATGACATTCATTTTGCACTAGCCTTAAATCTACCTAAATGATCCTTACCCTCTGGTAATTTAACGTAGCTATTGAACATGACCATTAATAGTGGATTTTCCCATTAAAAATGGTGATTTTCCATAGTTATGTTAGTTTACCAGAGGGTAATGTGTATTTTGATCATCATTGGGCACTCGAAGAGTCGCAGGTCCATCCATTGGGGTCTTTGATGGTCTTTAGTCGTTGGCCGACGTTGTTTCACGTATACAGAAAAGCGGCTGACTGAAAGGATGTTCTCCGCAAATGTCGGACAAGTTTTTCAAAAAAATCCTGCACAAAGTCGGAAAACAAGACATCCGCCGCTGAAAAAGTGACACCAGACATCTTTCAAACGATAAAAATGACGATTCTATAATAGCATCTTGAAGGCGAAGGGATTTTGGGGCATGTTGGGAACATGTTCTCATAAATATGAAGAAATCCTAAAACACCAAAAAATGTGGACATGGTTCTTTTCCAGGTGTCCTGGGAAACATGACATGTCGGCCAAAAAAGTGTCAAGCGAGTTGGGAAGTTTGAACAGTTTTGAGGCCCTTGCCATTCCGATGGCCGCCCGGTCTTGAAGCGGGAGATACCGTGATGTGTGAATAATCAGTGTGACGTGAGATGAATGAACATACTGAAAACACCTTAAAACACAGAGACAAAAAAACAAGAATACTCTAGTTTTCTCGGTTTCGCTCACTCCAACAGCTAAACTCCAACATACTCCAACGAAATCTCACGAAGCAACGATACACGATGTGCCAAAAGTGCAACGATGCAAGTTGCTGGCGTGTTATTAGTGTAATTTGAAACTCCACAAGTTTGCGGTGACGGATGGTGATGGTGCGTTGAACTAACGAAATGCATCGCAGGTCGATGCTCCGCTGATTCCGGCCAGCAGTTTTTTTATGTTTCTGAAGTTGTTCCGGATCCTTGCTGGCTCGAACAGTGGTTTCTGAAACCTCCGTTGTTTGGTTTCTGAGGTGTGCTTTTTGAATCGTTCCTTTTCGCTTGTGGACGTTGTGGAAGTGGGCTGTGTTTGGTTGCTGGAATGCGATTTTGGGCTGTTGAAGCGGCAAAGTATTCTTGTCATTCAGATGTTCCTTAAGACACTAGTCTAGAATGTATGCTGATTCCTTGTTACACCCTTCCTGCTCTGTAAGCGTTCTACACTTTAGTCCTCCATCGTTCTGCCCGAGTCTGATTTTGGCATCAATTGTAGGATGCGTGGAAATCGGGCGTTGGATTGGATAGTTAATAATGCTCAGGGGCGAATAACTTTTAGTTGCCAACGGCCACAGATTTTGACTCAGCGCATGCGAAACTTTAAGTTACGTGGCTGACGCAGCTGACGAAGCCACAGCCCTCAACGTGTCGCAGTATGGTTGAAAAGTTCGAGACATTTCTCATTTTTCGCGCCAATTTGTGTGCCTTATTGAACCATATAGACGCCATATCGCCATCGGCCCAAGTCCAAACGAACGCTGTAAAAGCAGTTGCCCTCAGCGCAATTCTTGTACCAGCTTGCTGCGAGGTGTTTCAGCTACCATTCCACTGCTGTCTGCGGGAAAGGTAATGGTGCTGAACAGTATTCTAGCGCCAAATTTCTGGTCTTGGTCATTCTTGGTCATGTCCCCAATTTTCCCAAAAAATCCAAAAAAGACAAATTCTGGCTAAACATGGCTAGACATGGCTAAACCATGTTGGCTCCGGGATCTTTCATACCCGGAGACCCATCAGTTTTTGTCGACCACTTCTTCGCCGAAGTGCCTGCGTCTTGAGACACTCCCGGTCGATCAGCTCCGGCATCACATCCGCCAGGGCAATCATCACGGCCTTTTAAAAAAAAGCGCCCCCGTTGCGGGGGCTGGCTGGGGAAGAACCCTTTCCGCTAAAAGCGGTAACCAAAAAAATAAAGTTGGTGGAATCCCACTAAAATAGTGAACAAATACGATTTCTATCTTTTTCGGGGGGTGCTAGAAAGTGATGAAAATAGAGTCATTGGAGTGGTTCAACGGACAATTTGCAGTACTATAGATTCCTAGATTCTACAGGAAACTCGCAGATTTGATTGGAAAAACATGGAAGAACCATTGTGTTCGCTGAAAATACTATACATTTCCGCTGAAAAGGGCACACCAGATTCAATTACGATCTGGGTCTGAAAATGGGTACCGTTCTACCATGTGTTTTTTTCCCCATGGGCCATTTTGGAAAATGATGACTCACCGATGGATGGAATGGGGTATGCGATGTGAATGGGATGACAATGGTGTATATCTCAGTATATCATCCATTGGTATATCACAAAAATCTAGATACCCTCTGGTAAACTAACATAACTATGGAAAATCACCATTTTTAATGGGAAAATCCACTATAAATGGCCATTTTCAATAGCTATGTTAGTTTACCAGAGGGTAACTGTAATTCGATGTCATTCGCCCACCGGAAAATTCATCCCAGATTTTTGTTCAGGGAAAATCCAGACAAGCCAAAAACAGGATGGTAAGAAGATGATATCCTTCAAAAAATCCTTTAAACCAATTGAATTCAAGGTATGTATATGTTTGTATGTTGCTGGTCATGAGTTGATGTTAGGGTAAAAATGTCGAGTGAGGCAAAGTGTCACTCTGCTAGTGTGCCTTGGACAAAGGGACCAATTGTTGCACCCGTGAGTTTGATGATTTGCGGTATAATTCTTCCATAATCTGTCTTATAGATCTTATAGATAAACAATAATAATCTGAGATCAAGAAATCATTCTTATGGTGTCCATTCTCTGATTCTGTCCTACCAGACTCTAGTGCTGAGCATCTCGATGTGTTCTTTGTCTGTTCATGATGTTCTCATACATCATGCTTAAAAATGCTTAAAAGATATCACATCTGGCATCATCCAAAGAAAAAGCCATTTAATCATCTACTTGTTTCGTGTCTTTTCGACCCATCAGTCACTTTTCTCCCAAAGTCGTGACCTATAAATCGCTAACCCATTTCCCTTTATATGGTGGTGTGAATAAAATCAGACACTGCGACTCGCCACATCCCTGGCCTGCCGGGCCAGTAAACGCGGAAGCTTCTGCAGGAGCATCACCTAGTTTCGATCAAGAACTGCGGTAAAGCAGTGACCGAAAATGGCAGAAATTCTGCTACCACACATTGTGGCAGAAATGCCAGTTTCTGGCAAAACATTGGGCTGGCATCCATCAAAACCAGAGTGTTTGGGATCTAAGGAGTATGCCCTCTGGTCGTCTCATGGCCATGGAAAAGGACCCATTTTTTTCGAAAAAGTCTCCCGTTGAAATGCCCACTAAAAAGGGGATTTCCCAGCCACGTGTCGCTAAAATGACCACGGGGGACCACCTTGAGATGATAAGCCGCTAAATAAAACGGGTAGCCCATTGACAAATCCTCCCATGGTGTATGGTGTACATGTTTAAATATACGAATATGATACCGTGTATATATGAGCGATTGTGAAAACCCTAGGTTCACGGAAAGGACATCCACAAATTTGGGAAGGTCCCATCGCTTACCACACGTTTGTACAATAATGATATATGGTAAACTTGGGGGGTATCGCTTGCAGGAAATGTTGCATTTATTTATATATATAAATATATATGTGATGAACTATGAATAATATGTGATATTTGGGTATCGCTAATGTGGATATTAGAGAAATATGATGACATAACCTTGAAAAGGGGTATCGCTAATTTGGGAAGGTCCCATCGCTTACCTCGTGTTTTTAACAATTTCCATCAATTTCCATAAACCAATGTCCGTCGAATACATATTTAGTATTGCCGGGGTTTTTACGGTTGCTCATATATATATATATACCCATGTTTTATCATGTTCGAACTGTTAAGTCCCTAGTTCTGGGGGGGATAAGAATCCACACTGTGAGGAATCCATCAACTTAAGACAAAATCCATCGACTCCATCTGTCAGATATGTCAGGGTCAAAAAAAAACAAGAGCTTCTGATCGACCACGACTCAGTTGATTTAATCAACTTAGCCCATCAACTCAGTTCTTCATTTTGACGACTTAAGGATGTATTCAGGCCTTATGCCACTTACCCTCCAGTAATTAAACATAGCAATGGAAATCGCTCATTTATAGAAGAATTTCCCGTCTACAAGCCTGCGTTTAGAAGGGATTGACCATTTTTATGTTTGATTACCGGAGGGAAAGTCCCTTTAAACAGCGTGGAATCTATCAACTCCCCTAACTCAATCAACTCAGTTTGAGTTGCGGATGTATTGAGGCGGTAATTCGATTGTTATCACCATGTATCACCAGTAGCACCCACTATGAACCATTATTAACCATTTATTTCACCATGATCAAACATGATTAATTAACCATGATCAAGCATGATTAACCAGTATTCACCACAAAAATTAACATGAATTAACCAGTATCAACCATGATTAACCAGTAGTTCACCACTAATTTTCATAGTTCAGCATTTATTCACCGTTTATGAACCCTTTCTGGTACCGTTTCACCATTTCTTTCGCCATGGTTTACTCCCACATCCCAAAGGCGGCGCACCAGCATGGGACAGTCCCCGAGCTTGGCCACGGCCGCCACCAGCTGCTCCCCAGCATTCACCAAAGCCTGCCGTGGTGATGCTGTTGTAACAAAGAACATCAACGAAGTAGAAATGTCACGTATCTGGGTAAATTATAATATTTCACTAACCTGAATTAAGGCCATTTTGGGATGATTTCCCTTACTAACCATGATTTCCAGTGAGGTCGCAGTGAGGTCGTTATAATTTACCCAGATATATCCATATACTGTTGGGATCATTTGGGATCCAGATCCATCTCTAGTGAAAAACCAACGAGCCAATTCTGAAATGTCGAGAATTTTATGGGTGTTGATATGTGTTGATGGATTCTGACCCTAAATTTTGGGTTTTTTTGGTGGATTTTGATTCAGATATATTCAGATTAAAAAGGGATGAAATCTGGGTTTGGATCCAGTGAAAGGTGGAGTGGAACCACCCGAAATGGGAGGTTTCTGGAGTTCTTCAAACAATGGGGATTCCACCAACAATCGCCAAAACAAACACATACTGACATACTATATGTGTCGATTGGAGTTGTTCCGAACGGATTTCTGGATATTGATTTGGCTTCTTGATCTGCAGGTGTTCCGTTCCTTTTCCATCCTTTTGGAGATCAATGAATGTTCCAAGGATTGTCACAAGACAAGGCAGAAGGGCTTAGGGGTCTCGCAGTTTATGACATACCAGTAGCTCGAGAATGAATCACGAGATCCAAACGATTTCAATACTGAGGAACGCTGTCCATGAAGGATCAAATCCCTCAGGATCAATGATCTAATTCCTCGAAACAACTGAGGAACGCTTCCTGTTCATCAAAGAGACCACCAGCATTTCCTGCGTGAAAAAAAGTCAGAACAACTCGAGTCTTGTAGCTTTTGTCCTAACGTGTGGGCAATACAAAATGACCTGTCAGCTGGTTTATTGATGGCTTAATCAGGGATAATCATGATCTGTTTTGTTCGCTCAGTCCCCGCACCCGGCACTCTTTGTCCAGCAACTTTGTGCTTCTGGCTCTGACCTTCTCGCCTTGAGACAATTGAGGACGTGATCCAGTAACATCTGAAGGCACAACAATGACTGCTTCTACTTGTCGCATATGTCTTGTTCAGGCTATGCTTCGGGTGGTTATTACCCTTTTAGCTCATACCATCTGCAAACAATGCATTTGCCTGCTTTACTGATCTTTTGGTGGTAAATGTATATGCAAACATGCCATGTATTTTGGGGTGGTGTCTGATTTTAAAAAAAAAGAATGCATCATCCCCATGTTGCGTCAGCCCCGCGCCACGGAGCCAATCTTAGGCCCCCTACCATCGCTGCCACCTGCCGCTAAACCAGCAGGCCGGACCGCGTTCTCAAAGGCCTGAGACTTGATCAAACTGTGTTTTTTAGCCTGAAAAATGGGTGTACAACAATAACCTACAACAATGATCAACAATGTATACAAGAACAATAGAATTATACAATAGTATATTGGACAATGGATCACAATACAGCTTGCTGTATACAACAAAATGGATCCCTACGTACAAAATGGGTGAAAAAAACAATAGACATAGGTGTACAGTACAATAATGTGCAATGGCATAAATTATAAACTTTATAAACCTACAATCCGGTAAACCCAATGCCATAAACCCACCTCTGGGGTGATAAAAAAAAAAAAACTACCACCCATGAAAATGCTGATCTTCGGATAAATATGGGATGGTTTATATTGGTTTAAGGCCTTGGGTTGACCACAATCATTCATTCATTCATTCATTCATTCATTTCATGTCAGTCCATTCCATTCCATTCCATTCCATTCCATTCCATTCCATTCCATTCCATTCCATTCCATTCCATTCCATTCCATTCATTCATTCATTCATTCATTCATTCATTTCATTCGTGCAATGGTATAAAATAGTAAAATAGCCATCATCACTTCAAGAATCTGGGACAACAATGCTATTTTTACTGCTAAAAAACTATATCTAAAACATTCTAAAACTATATGGCAGTGTGTCAAAACCCTGGTACCCCTGTAGTTCACATCAAAATAGCTGGTAAATGGATGTTCATCCCCCTAAAAATGGTATTAATAGGTATTGATCCATACCCATATCTAAAACTCATCATAGACACTTCACCAGCATTTTTTTACCCTCTGGTAAACTAACATAACTATGGAAAATCACCATGCTTTTAATGGGAAAACTCACTCATTTTCAATAGCTATTTTGACATAGCCAGAAGGTAAACGACCAAAACCCCCCCCTTTCGAAAAAACGGGGGTGAAACTGGCCACCGCCTCCAGGCCTCCAAGGCCTTGCGCGTCCGTTCATCCAGACTGTGGGGGCCAAAGTCGAAGCGTGGAGAACCTGGCGGTTCTGCAACTCGCGAGGCGAGGAGTGGCGAAGGTGGGAACCGGTCAAATCTGGATGAAGAGATTGGAGAAATATATAAATATGGATGAGATTGGTAAAATTATGTGGTTTTTGAATGAGCAAAAAACGATTGAAAACTGGTGTTTTTAAGAATGTGTTCTATGATGTTTTTATTGATGTGAAGCATGTGAAATGAACATGGAAACGAGTGGGAAACTGCCACTCGTCCCTTGGGATCCATTCAACTCGTTTGGCCTGCTGGAATTGTTAGAGGAGGCGCCATCTTGAACGGAACACATCAGTCCAAGCCATCAATGGTTTTTCGCTGCGGGGCCCATCAGTGTGGGAAGCTGCGTTGGTTGACTACCTGCACTAATATGACTAGGGTATACTAGGGTCATCACGGGTCATCCAGTGGTTGCTACAAAGGCTACACCCCAGTGACTGCTGAACAACTTTGCTATGCTCAATGCCCATCGGTGAAACTGGGTGACTTTGCACTTGAGCACAAGGGGGCAATCACTTGGAATGTCAGGCCACTGCCGAAAAAAACGCTCCACTCAGTTGTCCCCAAGGCCATATTGGATGGAAGTGATCGTTGGAGAGTACCCTCAGACCACCTCTGCAAACCAAGTTGGTGCATTATTCTGCGAACTCTACCCTCTGGTCATTTCACATAGCTATGGAAAATCACAATAGGTATCAATGGGTAAATAATCTACACACGAACCATTTTCCCTAGCAATGTTAAATTACCAGAGGGTACATCTTCCAGTCAAGAATGGCAGAACTGGATGAATCCCAGTTACAAATGGAAAATCCCTCATTGGTAAATATATATATATATACATCATACATGTGTATATTATAAAATATGCGTGTATATATATAGTATATATATATATATTATGTATTTTCTTGTTGGAACATGAGGATTTTCCCGCTTTTTCATCCCAGGCCCAACCAACCCCGGCTTGTTGGCTTTTTGCAACAGCATTGATCACCAATGATCACCTCAGCTGGGCTCATGTTGTTTTACATGAACATCATGAAACTATCTAGGTATGGGTCAAAATTGGGTATATACCACAATAATGAATAATAATTGGATGGCTAATACTAAAATAGACTTGGAGTATGTGGTCCCTAGGTCTTTAATGTAACCCATACCCATACCCATCTGAGTGGGCACAGTCAGAGTCTTGACCCATTTGCCCCATGCAGCACCTGTACATCTGACGTGTACCTTCTTGCGGCTCTTTATGACGGCAAAGCTCGCGTTTCTCAGCGAATGGTGAGACCCAACTTGCAAGCGCTTTTCGCGCCAAGTTGGTCTGATCATTTACGTCTGCAGATTTGGGACTTCTGAAAATCTTGCAGGCTGCCTGTGGCTATTGCTGCGTTTTGCAGCATCAAGGGACACATATAATTGTATAAGCACCAGCGTTTTAGCAGTCACGCATATGCATCTGTTGACTCTTTTGAAATTGGCGAGAAAGTGGAACCAAACATCTGCTCCAAGCAGGATTTCCATGGATTTCCCATGTTTTTACGATTTTTTTTCTACACATGGCCTAAACAAATTGCCACAAATCTGGTGGGTGAAACCCACCCTGTGGTCCCACAGAGCGGACACGGAGCACGTGGAGCACGTGGAGCACCTTGGAAGCGCTCCATAAAAATCATGGAAGCAAAGTGATGAGCGACGCTGAAATACGGATACATGTGTATACATTATATGCATATATATATATATATATATATGTATACAATGTATATTAGTATATATACATATGTGTATATGTGTATGTATATATATATATACATGCATATTCATATCATATATATATATATAGTCAGTCTGGAGTAGATGGAACATGGAAACTTCAAAAAAAAACACTAAGCTGGGAATGTGAAGATGTTTGAGAATCTCATATTCTATCTACTTCAGGATGATTATGTATGTCAGCAATGATTTGTTGGGATATCATTGGGATACTTCAAAAAAATAGAGACAATGATGGGGATTCCATCGGTGATATTTCATGGGATGTATCATCATATGCTCGTGGCAAATATCATGAGATAGAGATACTGTTACACCCTCCAAATATGATTGATATATATTGATATGAATTCAATGCGCGGTCTGGAAGGTGATTTTTCTGCACTTAGATATCTTGGATACAGCGCCATTTTGAGTTCAACCCCATGTGAAAATATACGGGGTGTAAACCCGAATGGATTTAGTGAAAGAAAATATTGCAGGGAACAATGGTTCTTGTCATCAAATTTAGGGGGGTCCTGTAGATGTTCCTTTCATCCAATTCTGGAAAGCCGCAAATTTCACCACCATTTTTGTTGATATACTGATAGGACTGGGTGTGTGTGTGTGTCTCTCTCTCTCTGCGTGTCTGTGTGTTATCAGTGGGTCTGACAACCATTTTTGCAAGGGGCTATGTTTTCTTCCGCACGATAATCCCAAAGCCTTCCCGTATAGGTTGAGAGTAGGATTTCCATCTTGGGTTAATCTTTAAACCCACTGAAAAACCAGCCAGTCTCATCGTCTGGCCATCTTATTCCAATCTGTTGGTGAGTATCCCAATTTTTGCTGAGTTCAATCACTTTCTGTCTTCACTATACACTCCCTGGGTTCATATCCAGGCTTAAAATCATCTAACTCCAACCCCATGGATTCTTGTTCCATATCTTAAATTCAGTGGTACTTTTCAGTCTAACCTGGATTAATAAAAGGGGAAATAACATCTAACTAGCAAACTCTCATGAATTCTCGGAAAAAACTGAAGCCCTCTGAGGCATTTGCATGAAACTGAGCGCCGCGAAACGCTTTTTGCGGCCTGGCACTAAGGAGACAACTGGCTCTAAGGTGTATCAGTTCTTAGTGTATTTCAAGATGTATAAAGTGTATCTATCCATACAAAAGAAAAAATAGAAAAACTAACATTATGTGTATCGTCTCTTGATCACTGATCATACTGTTCATTTTACTCGGCTTCGATCCCCGCATGTTGCTTTCATATCCTCATATCAGCTGCCGATCAAACTTTGGTCCCAAACCATTGGCGGCTTAACTTTCAAAATGTTTACTACCAAGAAAGACATTTTACATAGGTACATATATACATATTTTACATGTACATGCTCACCCCCCAACACAAAAAATCATGTAACACATTCAAATAATATGTGTATATATATATATATATATGGCAACTACATTTAAATATAAGGACTTTTAAATATACGAACGGGTATTTTAGATTACCTCCGGGAAGGTTTTCTTTGGCCCGCCCGGCCATTTAAACATACGGAATCCAATTCATTTAAACATAGGGTAACTACATTTAAATATAGGAACTGGTATTTCATACTACCTCCGGGGCCTCGCGGCCCCCGCCCTCCACATATTTAATGTCGTTACCGTAGATATATACGTATATAATATATATATATATTGTTTTAATATGCTTTATATGTTTATGTATACATTATATTAAATACACACATACACACTACGCATCTAGAGTCTCCCTGGTCGCCTCATCGAGATGCACTGACATCATGGAAGCTGGTGACAGCCTCAGAGGATGGCTGGGAAAATCCACCAAATTGTTACCCTCTGGTGAACGTTTACATAGCGAACTGGAAAGATCCACCATGCTATTAATGGGTAAATCCACTATTTCTATGGTCATTTTCAATAGCTATTTTGACATAACCAGAGGGTAGTTGATTTTCCCAGCGACAGAAACCTCCATTTTAGAAAATGGATCTGCGAAATTGCCATGGTGCAAATGGAGGATTGACCCCCCAACTCCCCCAGGGTATGGCAATTCTTATAGTCTAAATGGTTCAAGTTATGACCAAATGAGATTGATTTGGTGATATCCTGTTTTCGCACAAACCCAAATGCTGGGTTCGCTTTTCCAGGAGGAAAAAAATAACGATGAAAATCCAATGCCAGAAACCCTTCACTGAGATACGGTTTCTGATATTCGTCCGAAAGGTAAAATCTGGTAAATGGCTTATGGTTTGCTACAATAAGCAAATGGATGTAAATTTGATATCCCCCAATTTGCGATTGCATGACCCCAAATGGTTGGTTACTGGGATTGCTTATGGCATTGGGCGGCCGCATGTTGGTGAACTTCAGCAAGGCCCTGGGTTTCTTCACGGTTCTGAAGCTGAAACATGGCGATGGGCCATGGTTTTTCACATCCAAATGGCTGGCAAATGGATGTTCACCCCCAAATCATGCTTTATCATGATTCATGATCACTATTAAAAATATAGCTATTGAAACCATAGCCATAGCCACTTCCCTTCCCAAAGAAAAGGCTTCCAGACATCTTGGAAAAGCTTTCGGTAATCCACCGATTCGAGGTCCGCATCTGGTTGGAGATAGAGGATCACTCGCTGCACCTGCGATGCCGCTCGCAGGATCCAACGGATCCGGGACGTCCGGGGAGCCAAGAAGGGAATCGGTGGAAATGGGAAATCCCAAATATCAAAGCCTGCAGGTGTACATCTGTAGATATATGATGATATATGTTATTTATGTGTATATATATATGTGTAATCATGTATGTATATGTATAAGTATATGCTGCGTTGAAAGTATAAACTAATGAGAACAATACAATCAACCAACAAGGCATCAACCGGGCACTTCCGAAAAAAACGACCAAGGCGCATCTTCCAAACGAAAAGGATGACCCACGGCTTCCAGAGCTTTCATCATCTGTTCCGACGACACGTAGTCCTGGCGCTGTGACGACTGGATACGAATGTGGTGTCACATCTTCCAGAATACATGCTTGTAGAATGATAAAAGGATGTATAGATGTGCATTTATGTACTTGTTATATTCATATATGATATAGTGAATATATATATATAATAGAATGACATGTATATGTCTAATGTGCTTACTATTATCATTACTATAATTACATATATTAATATATTGAATTATTTATTTATACATTAGTGAGTTTATTCACTATCTATATATCTATATATCTATATATCTATATTGTCGTTATATCATATACTGTAGTAATATAAATTATATGTATTGTATATATATATAGCATTATATAGCCTTCTATCCACAGCTTCATCAGCTTTTGCCTCTCCGAATCGATTCCCTTCCCTCCTCGTGAGTGATATGCTGCATCTCCTTGAGGATTCGGATGATCATGCCATGCCTACAGCAGCATGGTCAAACCCACCAAGGTGATATCATAGGGGTAGCCATAGGGGATATCCACAGTGGGATACCATGGCATAGTAAGCTACCCATTGTATGGGGATAGAATTGATAGATTTGGGGATATTTATATAATCGGATATTATCATGGAAAAACATTGGATATAACTTACCAACCTAATATGAATGATGTGTTTTTTCGATCAAACGGGGGACTTATCAAATGTTCGGCCATTTAAAGTCATGTTAATGGGTAAAAATGAAAACATAAAACTAAACCGTATATAAAACCCGTATTTTTCTATTCAGGGCGATCTACAAAGGATGGAAAGTACATGTAAATCAGTAAATCATAGTAAATCATCATCTCGGGCATTCACTTTGGTGTTGATTTACGGGTCTATCTTTTAAAGGGGCCATGTCCTTTTTCTGATTGGCCATGCTGGGAATCCGTCAATACCGGACCATCGGAAATGGGGGAAGAACCATCCATTGACCCACAAGTTTCAGGAAGCGGCTTCCTGACCAATTGGGACCAATGGGGAGAAGCTCCCCCCAGGTAGATGTTGGTATAGTGCGGGGTATACTTGGAATGTAATCCGTAAGCCAGAGGGTCAACAAAAACACTGGTTCCAAATGCCTCGTGCCATGAAAACATGTTCAAAATGTATCTTTCGTGCATGAATTTGAACATCAAAAATGACGAGAAGATGGACGAAAAATCCTCGGTGATCCCCTTCGAGGAAGATTTGCAGGGCAATCCATGCAGCCGCGTGGCTTCTTGTACAAAACATCTCCCAGGTCTCGAACTGCTTTTCGCACCTGGCGTCGCATGGATGGTGAATTTGTCACACGGAAATCAGGAAATCCCGCGGTCAATGGGGTTTTACTGTGAAAGCCCATGGGCTTTACGACTATGAGGGTATAACTTGAACCATACCCATCTGGTCGTGAATCTCTGTGCATCCTACCATTTGGTAAACTCAAGTTGTAGCTCCAACTGGCTCCCCATTGTAACGGGAAGATGGATAAATGATACAACCATAGCCGCTCCCTCTACGTCCGGCCGTCCCGCCTGATTCGTCTCCGTGCGTTCTGCGGTCTTTTCGGACACACGCGTTGCATAAGCATCGTCATGCGTGTCCTCAACGCCAAGGAGAGCAGCAAGGCGTGGTTCGCCACGATTTTTTTAGTCGTTGAGTTTGACAGGGGTGATCTATCTTTCAACATCCCTGGGGTGGGAAATGTCTGCAAATGTCTACAAACACAGATGTGTACAAAATCCAGATGTTCTTATCTTTTCTTGGTGCGTGTTTGCTGCAGGTTTCAACGCTCAAGGGATGATAGATGCACTGTTGGCAAATCGGACATCAAGTCAGAAGTAGAAAATCGAAGCAAGCTTGGTATTTCACAATCGGGAGGTGAAAAATGTCAAAAATATCAGCACCATCAAAATCTGGATGGTGTTTAGATGTGTTTAGGTTGTCAATCGTAATTGCGCAACAAGAATAGGAATTTCTCAAAGAACCATGAGAATCGCTGTCCGATTCTGGCGAAAGTGGGCAATCCCTTCCCCTAACATAATACCTCATTCATATTCCATGATCCATTGTATTCCCATTGCATTCCCATTTTATCCCCTGCTTGGTGCTTTTAACATGTTTTAACCATCTTGAAAAATATTAGTCACGTCAGTGGGAAGGATTAATTATCCCATATATTGTGGAAAAATGTGGAAAATCATCCATTCATGTTTGAAACCACCAGTCCCAGTCCCCATGGTATCCTCATATGGCAGTGTGTCAAAACCTTGTACCCCTGGTGAACATCAAAATAGCTGGTAAATGGATGTTCATCCCCCTAAAAATGTATCTATAGGTATTGACCCATACCTATATCCCCTGGTTATATCTCCAACGTCCACCCGATATCCGCGCCAAGCGTCATCCAGAGGACCTCGAGTCTGCAGCATGCAGGTGGTCCAGTCTGGATCCAACCTGAAGGCAGCAAGTCGTCCAACGTAAATCAGGGATTTTTATAGTGATTTAATGGGATTTTATAGTGATTTAATGGGATATTAATGGGAATACCCTCTGGTTATGACTTACAGAGCTAATGAAAATGGCACATTTATATACATTTATAGTTGATTTACCCATTAATAGCATGGTGGATCTTTCCATAGTTATGTAAACATTTACCAGAGGGTATCATGTTTTTAAACATCAGTTTGTATCAATTTATCTGAACATATCCGAACTATCCCTTAGACATCCCGGTTTAAAAAAAGTGATTTTTCGACACTAAGACAAGGCGCAGAGCATCACAGAACTCATTGTAGCTCACCTGCCCATCCTTTCGAGAGTCAAAGTGCCGCATGATCTTCAGCACATCCTGATGGGACCGTCATGCAGAATTCAGTCTGCAAAAAAAAACAAAATCGGTGATCAAACGTGGCACTGGAAAATGCCATGATTAAATCAATGGAGGTTTCAATGGGATTTTAGCATATAGGCTAAAATGGATAGAGGTTCCATCCTAGTTTACTGATATGCTAGACAAATATGTTGCGTTTCACTGTCTATCTTACTAGCTAGTAGAATTCAGTGACGGGTTTCCCATTTCCCATGTTTGGATACTGCAAGGCACTGCCTCCCAGTTGATCCAGTTGTAAGTTGGTTTATAAACCCCATGAACATCCATGAACTAGTTCAATATATCTGCCAGAAACATCCATAAACCATAGAATTCACCTAGTTACGTTCACGAACTTAGCTACTGATTGGGGCCTCCTTTTCTAGCCACATCCCCTCCGTCCTCTGGTGCGAGTTGGAAGCCAAACTTTTCCAGGGCTCCCTGGAATTCCGCCACCGTCAGAACCTCAAGGTGAAATTTCCAGCGAAACCTGCACCACCTAAAGGATGGTTGAAACATGTTGAAACCCTATAATTAATGGGATAAAACCATCAATGCAACTGCAGGATACCGCAACCATCCACAGTATATCCGTATTCCTTGTGAAATCCCGGTGAAATCCGCCAGTTCTTTTCCAAATTCGTCCGGGACTGCGGGTTTTTTTTCATCAGTCGTGAAATCCGTTTGTCGTTGTTCATCCCTCGTGTTGGTTGAACATACCCTCTGGCAATTTAACATAGCTATTGAAAATCACCATAGACATAGTGGATTTTCCCATTGAAAATGGTGATTTTCCATAGTTATGTAAACGTTTACCAGAGGGTAACTGTGATGTGCAGCCATTTTGGCCAGTGCGAAAAACCGGTTTGTTGCGGCTTGAGGCCGCATCCAATCCCGCCCGCTGGTCGCGTCGTGAAAACTGGTCGCTCTGTCAGCCAAGACACGCCATCATGATCCCCGTCAAATCGCCTGGCAAAATCGATTTCAACTTGATGATTGGGATAATATAATACGTAATGAGAACGGCAATTGAATTCTTACAGGACAGTCATTCTGGTACTGAGTGTGTCCAGCAAAGGAGTATACCCAATTTATTGTCAAGGACAGACCCATCTGGATTTAACATGTGGCTTCACAATGATACCCATCTGGAGCTTTGTTTAAGAAGGATGGACCCAAGAAAACAATGATGATCGTTGTGAATAGGAAAACCACATCTCTGCAAACTATATGGTTTTAACATGTTTTAACATGTTTTAACCTATTAAAAAAGGATGTTTTATCAATTTTTCATAGGGAACCAATTGTTTTTTGGGGGTCCACCGGGTACACCCTCCGCCTGAAGATATCTCGCACCAGGGGATACTGCTGTCGCATGGAGTCGCGTAGCTTCTGCAGAACCGCTTCGAGGTCGAAGCTACGCAGTAAGGTATCTGGATTTTCGAAGACCTGGAACATTGGAAGAACACCAATGGCTTAATAGTGGTTAATAGTGGTTAATAGTGATTAATAGTGGTAAATAGTGGTTAATCACTATTAACCACTATTAACCATAGTAAACATGGTTGATAGTGGTAAATAGTGATTAATAGTGGTAAATAATGATAATTCATGGTGATTAATGGTGATTTACCCTCTGGTAAACGTTTACATATATAACTATGGAAAGATCCACCATGCTATGAAAATGGGAAAACCCACTAAATTTCGACTGGGCCATTTTCAATAGGTAACAAATTACCAGAGGGTATCACGATATGATGGGAATGGGGATATGCTGGGATATCCTGGGATATACTGTAAATTGTTTGGAGCTTGGGATCTTTGGGGGGGATACAAAAAGGGAATATGACGGGGATATACTGTAAATTGTTTGTGGGAATCTACGGGGAAGATACTGATGCCTTTTTACTGGAATATGGGGATATAATTGGAATATTGGAATATAATGGGATGAATATACTGCGGACAAAGAGGGAATATCGCGGGACTATCATTGGAACATCATGGGAATATGTAATCAACAGTCACCAACAAGATAGGCATGGGTGATGTACTGATCGTATCTAGGATCTGGGATGTTGATGGGGTATAACGGTATAACATCGATTGGAACCATATTGGCCACTGCTATTCCATTTCAGTGATCCCATCGGTGTCAAAGATGACCAAAACCAAAAATCGTTGGGTTTGTTTCAATAGGGCTTCACCTCACCAGGACAATAGGGCGACTCTTCACCATCATTCTCGGGTCAACATTTGGGGCGGTTTGACTCCCCATGAAGAAACAAATATGGGAAATATGGGCTGTGGGACCATCACTGTGATCCCTGTTTGTGGTTATAGTATGTTATACTAATTGCTGGTTGAACCACCCCCCTGAAAAATGATGGAGTTCGTCAGATTGGATCATCATCCCAACATATCCCAATCTGGTTGGGGAAAATAAAAAAAATCATGTTCCACCAACTATAACATACCAGTACTATAACAGACTATAACATTCATAACATTCATACTATAACATCCAAACCACCAACCAGTTATAGTATGTTATATATAGTATGTTATAGTATCCCCATCGAATCTGTGCTTCAATGCTTCAATCCCCATCATTTCACCCCCAGCCAACCGATCAGATGGCTTTTTTCTATATCCAGTTGGTATGGGAATCATCCCTAAATAGCCTGATCTCAGGTGAATCATTCCAAGTCCAATTCAAGTCAGCCAAAAAACAACCCCCGCCTTTCTGGAATATTCGTCCATGTCCAGAATCAGAAGCTCGTGGTTGTACACCTGCACCACATTGCCTCCAGCCGAAATTCGGAAGTCATCGGACCATCCAAACCCATCAAATTTCCAATGGCTCCCCTGCCCTCTCCGGCCTGGCAGCAGATCGTTGGGCTCAAAGAAGCGCCCTGTGACCTGGTTCAGGTGGATGCCTTTCTCCAAGAATCGGCCCGTCACAATCCCTAGGCCATTTTTGGAGAGTTTGTCCGGCGGAAAAATGATGGGAAACTTGGGGATAAGCCATTTTAATGATGGGGGGAAGATTGATCTTACCATCTTTAAAGCCGAAACCAGAGGTTTGTTACTCGGTATGGGAAAAACGCCTCAAATGTTAAAATCCATGGGGAAACATCAGGGTTTTGTCCACAAGGATGGGGGTAAACCAGGGAAAGCTTCCCTGCAAGCGATTACGGGAAATTAATGGGATATTAACCAACAATGAGAATAGATTAAGATTACATGAGAACAGATTAAGATTAGATTAGACTGGATTAGATTAAGATATATTAAGATATATTAAGATTGGATTACATTTCGATCAAATTAGAGTTTGATTAGGATTAGGATTAGATTGGCATTGGATTCGATTAGATTAGATTAGGTTGGAGTAGGATTGGATTAGATTAGAGTAGGATTGGATTATATTAGCATTTTATTGGATTGGGTTAGACGAGATTACGATTGGAGATAAATTAGGACTGGACTAGACTAGAGAAGATTGATTGATAGACATCACCATTTCTAGCCAAGAGTTTGAGTATTCAAAGTAGCAAAGTCAGTCGGTTTAACCGAGTTTAACCATGACATTTTCTTCGGCTTTCGTCCAGGCAGCCCATATTCCTCTGTGGCGGCTCATGAATGGCAAGGGTGTCATCCTGGACGCTCCAGCCGTGTGCGCCAAGTTACATGGGATGGTTAAAAAGGTCGTCTCATGGGAATCCAAACAGATCTGGTTGGTGGTGCAAGAACCATCTTCAAAAATATAAAGTCAATGGTTGGTGGATTATCCCATGATTATCCCATATATGAAATGGAAAATAATCCATTCATGTTTGAAACCACCAACCAGATATCTTACAATGGGCATACAAAATCCATCAAAATCCTATGGATTGATGACCATCAAAATCTGTCATCCGACTCTTGACCATGGCACTGCTGGAGTTTACCCCGTTCTTCGGTCCAATTGATTCACAAAGAGTCGGCATGCTGCGTCCTGCAGGTAGAAGGACATGACAAACATGCGATCTGCGTCCTTGGACCGCCAGAACAACAACCATCCTTCCCACCAAAAAAAAAAAAAACTCAGACATCTGAAAAAGTTGGGGGATTTTACACATCTTTGGGACCATTTATGGGGTGATTGAAGATTATATTTCCATATGATGGGGGACGGGAGTCATCACGTTATGCATCCGTCACTGAAATTCAGCAGATGTCGGATCCACTGATTCCAATGGGTTAAAAACGCCGCTGATTTTTGCGGAGAGACTTCCGGCTTCGGCTTGGCAAACTTCGCCTTGAAGCGCAAGACTTTGCCCTCGTGCTGGAAGAGTTTCACCAAGTCCTGCTTTCGGTGAACTTCTGATTGGATGAATAGTGCTATGATGCTTCTGCAGCTGGATGAACGTCTAGGGATTGGATGAGTGGATGATAGTTGGCTGAAAAAAATTACCATTGTCATCCACTATCCAACAGAAGCAAACATTCTAAGATTCTAAGGATGGAATGGCTGGGCCCCATGTCTTGTGGAATCTCAGGGCAGGCCTAATCCCCAGCAGATGACCCTCACCCAGACCTATTTGCGGCAGGTTTGCTGCTCAAAACCCCGTGCTTGCTGCTCCCACCCCCAATGATTGGGGTGTTTCCCATCTCATCTCAGACTCAAGAAAGTGTGTTGGCTCAAAAAAACAATATGTAATGAAAACTACAAAAGCTAATGGAAATTCCCCCAAGCCCTCCCCAAAACACACAAAAAAAAAAGTTGCTGAAAATAATTTTAAAAAAACTTAGTTCAACCATTAGTTCGATTCTTTGCCCAGCTAGAAACCTCCATTTGTAGTGGATTTTCCTGTATGTTCCGATATTTTTCCATGATTTTCCCATCAAAACACCGCCATTTTCCAGTATTTTCCGATATTTTCCCATGATTTTCTTCCCCGGTCCTTCTTCGGCAGCTTGGGCACCAGATGCGTCACCGAGCCCATGGAATCTTCCCAGGTGCCATAGCCCGTGTAGGGCGGAGTCTTGGCCCTGGGCAAAAATGTCTGCTGATGGCATCATTAGTAAATTCTCTATCATACGTATATGTATCATGAACATATTTAATATATATATATATATATGTTATAATATATATATATACATATTATGTTAAAATCTGTATATATATATATGTTATATTATATATATGGTCATCCCCCCTGATCTACCTAGAAGCATTTTATATGGAAATAAGGTGGGCCATAACACCTTCATTGGGAATCATTGGGGTAGATCATGGGGGGTGAGCATATAATGCATATATATGTATATATGTATATATGTATATGTATATGTATATGTATATCATACCCGTGGCGCCTGGGTACGGTTCGCTCTGGCAAGCGAACATCAACCATGGGTTCAAGCTCCATGCCCAACTTCTGCCTGAAGTACTTCCTGGTGAACCTCGGAATCGTCAATCTGAGAATTTACAGGGCGGCTACCCTCTGGTAAAAATACAAAAAACTATGGACAATCACCATTGTTTAATGGGTAAATCAACTATTTCTAGTGCCCATTTTCAATAGCTATGTTAAATTACCAGAGGGTAAGTGATACTGATTGTTTCAAATATCAAACATATGCGGACATTTCAGTGACAAATGATGGTTGGGCTGATGTAATTCGTTCGGAGTTCGACCACCTATTTTTATCTTTTTATATTTGGGGGATATCATAATCCAGTGGGAATTTAAGCGTGGAGAACCGTGGAGAACTGTGGAGAACTGTGGTGCTAGGCTTGACTTCTCCCAATAAAATGAGTTCTCCGGTTCAAGGAATAGGAAACCATCCCTAAAATCAGCATAAATGGATGGTATAAACCATCAAAATATGAAACCATCCCTAAAATCAGCATAAATGGATGGTATAAACCATCAAAATATGGGTGGTTTATGACATTGTTTTACTAACATCAATATTAGTCAAATGGTCAGTTGGGATCATTGTCCCACGTAGGACAGAGAATAAAGATATAATATATATATATATATATTATATACTGCATAATATATATATATATGATGATTGATTATAAATATATATATATGTGATTATTGACTGTATATATATATATACATATATATGATTATATATGTATGATTATTGATTATATATACGTAAGGTGATTGATTATATATATATACGTAAGATGATTGATTATAAATATATATATATGACTATTGATATTATATATATATATGTATGATTCTTGATTATATATGTATGATTATTGATTATATATATATATATGATATATGGATTATTATTGAATATAATGAATATATATATATATATATGTATGTTTGAAACCACTAGTAAGTGGTCTTGCAATATCCAAACCCGAATGCGTGTTGGCCATGTTTCAGCCATTGGCTATCAATTTCACGGGCTTCCAGCATGCTGGGATCCAAACTCATCCGCATCATAGATGAAGAAGTTGTAGTTCCCAAGCAGCTGCACCTGAAGAACATCGATTGTCCCAGCACCCTCCATGACTCCATGATGGTGATATTTTAAGTGTCACCAAGCGCCACCGAGGCTCGGTTGTGTTCACCCGCAGATCATGACCATGCACAAACCTTGGTGAAGCCCGGAAGTGTTGAAAAGTGACTTGCTGGGGCTCTAGAAAAGTCAGCCATATTTGTGGCACCAAACACTGCATCCAGAACTGAGTCATCTAGTCTTAACCCCAGGATCAGTGGCCGTAACCTGACTTCTAAGTAGTGATTGGGGATATTGCTACGACTCAAACACTTTCATACCCCCCACACTGTATGGTCTCATCTCTCAAAAAATCACCATCTCCGGCCATGGGCGGAACCCTTTCATGGTCTCTTACTTCCATTGTATTTTCTTGTGGTAACTAGCCATCCACATGGCCAACCTTAGATCCAGAAAACGTATCTTTCAAGTGCTTAGTTCCCGCAGAGACTGTTGGGTTTCAATCTCTGGTGGAACACCCTGGAACCCTGGAACATGCTGTTGGGTTGCAAAGCTGGCTTATCGATCTCCCCGAAATTGCAAAAGGCATATTCTTGAAAACGAAGGTTTTTTCATGTCACATCAACAAAATGTCTACCCCAATCCAAATAGATTCTAAGTTTCTCCGTCAAAATTCCGATCTCCGTCAAAATTCCGATCAATTGGAGGCAAAATCATGTGAATTCCCCCATTAAGACAAATCAAAATATCATCTGGTTGCTTACATGTCGATACTGGTCCCCATCTTACTATATCTTATTATGTTTCTTGAACATAAAAATTGTGACACCAAAAATCTCCCATGAACTCTCCCTGGTGTCTGGTTTTTCGCCCGGGCACTCACTCTTTTTGCGCGCTTGTGCTTGAGGTCCTTGCACCTTGTAGGGCCCCAAGGGCAGCTTCCCTCGCCGGAAGAAGATGGGGAACTTCTCCCTGCGACGTTCGCTCAGCGTTCCATGGATGGCCAAAATGGCCCAAGATCTCCATGGATTCATAGATTTTAAATGAGTTCAACGTGGTTTCTCAACAGGTTGACCGGTTGACCAAGATTTTTTACTGATTGGGATTTCTGAGCATATCATGGGGATATCAACAAGATGTTTTCTGCATCTGGATCAATGATATTGCTTCACCAACCTGAAATAAGGTCATTTTGGAATAGTTACCCTTGTCATTCCCATCATACCAGTGGCAGTGTGACGTGAGGTCGTTCAGTGACGTACTGGAAAAACTTGACCGGAAGCCATGGTTTTTAGCATCAAACATAGTGGTGTTTACCCTGTAGATGTTCCCAAAAAAAAACTACGAAGTTAAACTCTGCCTTGTGGTGGTTGAAGCACCAGAATATAAGCCGCTAATCATTTGGGGGTCATCATCCCATTTCCATGGTTGACAATGTTTAAAATATTGCTGAAACCAGCAAGCAGCTACTGTATACAGGCTATACATGGGAAAATGAGTTGGTGTTTGAGCCTTTGGATTTTTTTGGATATTTTTGGGTAGTCAAAATTAAAGCCCATGAGCACACAAACGTTCGTCATGTTTAGCCGTCATCCAGTTCGCTTCTGTGACTTTGAATCATCTCCACCAGTGGCGCGGCTGCTCTGCCTGCCGCAATTCAAGGGATATTGTTCCGAAATTTCCAAGGTATCGTCGGCCAGGAAGAACATGATGGTAAAGGGCCTGTCGCAATGACGCTTGTGGAATGGCCCTTATGCATGGCACCATTTCTCGAAAAAGTGTACCCTCTGGTAAACTAACATAGCTATTGAAAATGGCCATTTATAGTGGATTTACCCATTAAAAATGGTGATTTTCCATAGTTATGTTAGTTTACCAGAGGGTAGATGTTCACTTCCCCCCAAAACGGCAAAATCGGGACTGATGAAAACTATGGTTTTTACACCTCGGTGCACCATACTGCACCCAACTCGCCTGCGTTCGAACTGGGGGGTCGTGACCTGCAATCTTACTCAAGACAATGGCTGGTGATGAGCCATGGAAGGGGAAGCAGACTCATCCTTTACTGATGCTCGTATTTTTTCCCCGGATGGCTCAAATATATTGATAGATATCACTCAATGACCCCATACAATTGGACGTGTCAGGTGGCCTTTTGGCCAACGGTCAAAGTGGAACACCCTGCAGATTTTGGCAATGTTGAGGATCCAATCATTTAAAAAAAAGGATTCTTTTATACGATTTAACATTTTGAACCAAGTAAAAGATAAGAAGAATGGTGATATTCTCCGAAAAAAATGTGGCTTTCTTGATTGTCGATGAACACCAGGGCCCCAGATGTATGTTTTCACCGGATTTTTTTTAGTTGGGATACCATTGATACAGTCATCTGCTACATCATTCGAAACCCAAGTCACGGGGGTATAGCTGGAGTGTTTATTTCACGGAAAATCCTATGGAAAATCCTATGAAAATCCTATGATTTCATGATTTGGGGCTAGTCCCTGCTTAGGAAACCACCACATCATCTTGAAATGTCTAAGAATCATGGGGATCATGACACCATCCCCAACAATGTTTCAGCCGAGCCCGGCACATCATCCATCACCGCGTAGAAGCGAAGAATCTGAGGGCTGGGGCCCCCAGGGGGTCCAGATTTAAACAGCAAGAAACCATGAAGTCGCAAACCAACCATGAGTGGGGCGGCAGTTTGTTCTTGGGTTTTACCATGTTTTACCATGTTTTTCCTCATTGCTAATCAAATAATACAAATATATACAAATTATATGCAGCATTATGCAATTTATGTCCTGTCCTGTGTTCATCCATTGAAACACAACTGTATTCCCCGGTATTTTCTGGTGTTTCTCTCAGCGACTGTTTCAGCCGCTGACCTTTTTGTCGTTCTCCAAGAACTGCTGCATGTCTGCATTGATGTGTCCACCACCCAGCATCACCTAGAGAACAAGATTCAACGCAGCTCCCAATGCCATGTTTACCATCCCCAAGTCACCATGGGTGCCAGCCCTGTTTATCATCCCCGGTCATGGCAGTTGTTTATTAAACCAGGGGGAAACCCACATTACTTAGAAAACGTCTTTGACTTGGTGCATGAGCAATTGAGAAAACCTTGAATTACTTCAGTGAAAGTATGTGAAAGTCACTAAAGTCACTTCCAGGCCAGGCCTCTCTATAGACCTTCTCATAGGTTCTGGGCTGAGTCGATGCATGGCTCTTCCTGAGTTGAAACGTACGCGGCCATTGCGCTTAACGATCTCCCGATAGTTCGATGCTTTGGCTACGGGCCAAAGATTGGAAGCTCTGTGAAAACCGGTTTTGAAACCTGATAAAACCTGCCCGTCACAATCCATACTACTGTACTATGAAATACATATCTTGGTCCATGTTGGACCCCAAATCTGGGATTTAAATCTTAATGTTCTATTCACATTAAGTATTCCCAAAGACATCAGATATTCCCGAACACGGTCCCAAATATGCTACTTGTATGTGCGCCCCGGTTACTAAGTGGCTTACAAACCCTACATAACCCAGGAACCTAACTGGGTTAGTTCATATGGTTATTACCTACTTACTGACTGGGATGTACCCCCAAAATGCCCCAAAGTAGCAACCGGAAATCCCCCCTATGTTTTCGAGATGGGAACATCATGTAGAAATGAGGGAAATTCCAGCAAACCATGTTTGATTACGGGAGGGTAACCCATTAAAATCCCATATAACCCATTAACATCCGATTAAAAACAATTAAAATCCGATCAAAATCCACTTTCAGAACTGTTAGCTGTTAGCCCCCTGAGTTCAGGCCAAGTTTCATCGCTTCTCGGGTCGCCTGGAAGGGATCTGTCTCTTCAGCCTCCGCTGGCCCTTGAGGCATTCCTGCCTGCTCGAAGTACTCCCTGGACCGGGCCAGGTTTTGTTGGAAAAAAAATCATCTGTGTTTCCAAAAAATAATGTGAGAATAACACTAATAAACCACCCATGACTGGGAATGGTCTAAAAATACCACCTGTAATTATGGTGATTTGGGGGATGGTTTATGGCATTGTTCTACCCATAGTAATTGTTTTTGTCGGGAAAGGGATGATAAATCATGGGATTTTGGACTGGATTTGATGGGATGTAGGGGCCCAACATCCCAACATTTTTCTCGGTGAGGGTTTGAAACCACCAAGCCACCTCCCTGAAAAAAAACATATTTTCCGGTTAAGTCATGTTCTGTCCACATTTCTGACTGGTAAATTCCGGCAATTTTTGGTCGTCCTATCTTTGAAAATTAATTACTAGAGTGGCACGATCTCTTCTGCCACGGCACCGAGTGAAAGGATCACAATCAGTGATGTAAATGTTTCGCCCATAGATCTGCAAGACGGTACCCACCCGAAGGTCCTGTCTGTGCTGCTGGGTGGTTTGGAAATTTGTTTCTTTAGGGGGGATTTTTAAGGGATCTGCATGGTTCACCCGCCAGAAATCGAACATTGAACCGGCAAACAAAAGGACATGTCCCCTACTGTATCGGAAAGTCATTGTCCATCCATTTATCAAGTTTCGTCGTAGTCTGGGACGGGTTGCGGGAATTCGGTTTGACCCTGGTCCCGATCGGATTATTCCACTGAGTCATGTCCATCCATGAACGACTCACAGGTCCAGGGTTGATTTACCTTTTCAAATTCATGCCCAACGACGATGAAAACCCGTGAAACCAAAAAATGTACAGTATATGTTTTCCGCATGGATATGGATCAAAATCGAGTACCCCAAGATGGGATGGTGTACCACTACAAATGAAACAAAATCCGCAACCGCCGGCGTCATATGTTTTGACCCATACCCATATATATCTATATCTATTTATATCTGTATAATACATATTATATATATATATATGTGTGTATGTGTGTAGGTTGTCTGTACAAACGTGTATGTATATTTTTACAATTATTTATTTACATACGTGTAAATAAAAACCGTGTATATGTGCATTTAAAATTTCATGTAATATATATATATATGTGTGTATGCAACATGCATATGACATATATATATATATACATATCTATTTTTTTAATATACAACAAATATATATATATATATATAACATGAAAAACAATGAAAAACATGTAATACACAAAATTATTCCAGCGAGAGACCCCAAACTGTGTGGGGGAGTCAAAGAACAATGTATTACAATGCCGATGATGATGTTAATGTTGGTGATGATGTTGATGATGATGGTGATGTTGATGATGATGATGATGATGATGATGATGCTGATGATGGTGATGATGATCGGGGCTGGGACATGGGGTGGGCTTAGGGGACAAGTGGGGACATGGGGCTGGGACATGGGGTGAGTTTAGGGGACAGGATGATGATGATGATGATGATGCTGATGATGATGATGATGATGATGCTGATGATGATGATGATTCCAGGACCTGTTCTAAGCGATCCAAACTGCGCGGTTTTAAGCGATCCAAATCCAGTGGTTCCAAGCGACCCCGCGACCATGTCAAACCACCAAGAAAAACAACTTAGATGGGTAATGGCTCAAAATTCCTGGAATGAATACAGAAGTGTCATAGATCAATGTCAATTAAATTAATATAATAGCTTGTTCATCTTGTTCAGGATTTTGAGCCATTCGAGATATCGAGCGATCGAATGTGTGGGCAATAATGCATGCATGTAGTTGTAATATATAAGTCATCAATCAATCAATCAATCAATAAATGAATACATAAATAAATAAATATATATATATATTCAAGATACGTGACAATGTGGCACGCAAGCCAGCAGACGGTTGTCCTCGGCTCACCTTCTCGTCAGCTCTTCCTCGAAGATGGCGGTCTCGCTAGGCCCTGATGATGGCTGATACTGGAATCTTCAAAGACTCTGAGACGTACTCTGGACTGGCAAAGGCCAGATCTGGTTGGAAACGTTCAGCGCGCTGCCATGGAAATTCCTCTTGTCGCGGGGCAACACGGCGCCAGCCGGCACGGTGAAGAGGCGGGGATGTCGCCTGCATCCATTCTGCCTGCCATAATGCTGGGGCAATCGCCAGCATTGATCTGGGAAGAGGTAGCCAGCAAAGAAGGGATGACTACCTGGCCGTGATGAGTACGCGGCCGGCCAAATCAGCACCACCAGGCCTTTTTCTGATTGCACATGCGGTTCACATTCCAAGCACGCACGGACTGCAAAGTGGCAGACAATATCTGATAGGTGTGCATGCAGACATAACCCACCAATGCTGGAGGACCAAAATGCCAGCAAGGACCATTTCGTTTCAATGAATGAACGGTCCCAGTTCAGAAAAACAATTGGGTTCATAGTATATCTCGGTCAGCAAGATTTACAATGGCCAATGCAAATCTTGCTTGCCAAGGTCAGATCTCTCTCTCTCTCTATCTATATATATATATGTATATATGTTGTGCAAATACATGCATGGGGAATATTCGGTGATAATAACATAGGGGAACCAACATCAACCATGAGGTATGCGGCCCCTTCGGGGGATGGCCAATTTCCCCCTATACCCCATAAACGGTGCGGACCTGGCAGCTGGGGGGACGAAAGCGACCGATAAAATACCAGTAGTACCGCACAAGGCGGTGGCGGAAGTTTCAGAAATAGGAAACCTATAGGAGAGGTTGGTTGTTGTGAATCAGGGATGGCAGCGCGAAGCCGCTGATGGACCGAAAGGTGGTTGAGGTCTCCTCTCGTTTTCTTTCTTTCTCTCTTTTTCTCTCTGTTTCTCTATCTTTCTCTGATTATCTACCGACCAACCTACTGATCTATCTGTCTACCTATCTATCTGTCTGTCTGTCTATCTATCTCCCTATCTATCTATCTATCTATCTATCTATCTATCTATCTATCTATCTATTTACCTATCTATCTCCCTACCTATCTCCCTATCTATCTATTTATCTATCTATCTATCTATCTATCTGTCTGTCTGTCTGTCTATCTATCTCCCTATCTATCTATCTACCTATCTATCTCCCTATCTATCTATCTATCTATCTATCTATCTATCTATATCTATCTATATCTATCTATATCTATCTATATCTATCTATATCTATCTATATCTATCTATCTATCTATCTATCTATCTATCTATCCATCTATCTCTCTATCTCTCTATCTCTCTATCTATATCTATCTATATCTATCTATATCTATCTATATCTATCTATATCTATCTATATCTATCTATATCTATCTATATCTATATCTATCTATATCTATCTATCTATCTATCTATCTATCTATCTATCTATCTATCTATCTATCTATCTCTCTCTCTCTCTCCCTGTCTATCTATCTATCCATCCATCCATCTATCTATCTATCTCTCTTTTTATTTAGCTGTCTCTCTATCTATTTGTCTGTCTATCTGTCTATCTATCTATCCATCTATCTATCTACCTCTCTACCTGTCTATCTATCTATCTATCTGTCTATCTATCTACCTATCTACCTATCTATCCATCCATCCATCCATCCATTCACCGTGTACTGATAGGATCCTCATATTCCTAAATTTGCAGATGATCTTCAAATGTCCCATGCCTGCCATCTTTTGTCGACATGCTGCAAAACCCTTATGTTTTGCTCACTTTTGACAAGATCCACAATCTCGTGCGCCTGCCACGCGAAACGACATCTGAGCCTCCAAACGTCGTCCGAACCCCTAGTGTTTTTAACATTTTGACTTCAAAATGTGCTTCGCGCCACAACGGCATGCACTTTTTCAACATCTCAACTTCCAAAAGTGCTCCGAGACCCTCAGTTTTTAGCATTTTGACTTCCAAATGTGCTTTGTGGCACAACGGTGTGCACTTTTTCGACATCTCAACTTCCAAAAGTGCTCCGAGACCCTCAGTTTTTAGCATTTTGACTTCCAAATGTGCTTCGTGCCACAACGGCGTGCACTTTTTCGACATCTCAACTTCCAAAAGTGCTCCGAGACCCTCAGTTTTTAACACTTTTTACTTCGAAATGTGCTTCGCGCCACAACGGCGTGCACTTTTTCGACATCTCAACTTCCAAAAGTGGTCCGAACCTGGTGTGTTTTGTACATTTTGACTTGGAAATGTGCTTCGCGCCACAACGGCGTGCAATTTTTCATCTCTCATCTGGCCAGCTGGGTCCGCACCCGCCGCTTTAGCGAGCCTACTTTTCGACCCTCCGGAGCCCCAAATCATTGGAAAAACACAGTGTTTCGCGACTTTCCTACCTTTTCGCGCATCTGCATCTTCTTTCTGCTGACTCTTTCTCTTCTACTCCTCTCTCTTCTAATCTTTCTCTTCTCTCTGCGTCTGCCCTGCGCTGCTTTTCATCTGTCCATATTGTCGGAAGTTTGACTTCTAAACTTCCTTCGATTATAATATATTATATATAATTATGTATATATGTTGTGCAAATACATGCATGGGGAATACTCGGTGATAATAACATAGGGGAACCAACATCAACCATGAGGTATGCGGCCCCTTCGGGGGATGGCCAATTTCCCCCTATACCCCATAAACGGTGCGGACCTGGCAGCTGGGGGGACGAAAGCGACTGATAAAATATTATAATATTATATATATATAATAATATATATATATGTATATTATATATTCATATCAGGGGTTTCCGACAGGGTGAGGAAACCAGGAGTTGGCTTGCCCTGGTACGCGCAAACCGCTGTTGCAGGGCGCGGTTTTCGTTGCGGCGGTGCAGCACGCGCAGACGGCAAGCCACCAACTGAGACGGGCCGGCCAATGCTCGGGTCTTTTTGATCGTCGGCGGTATAGTGTCTGGTCTGTCTGGGCTTGCTTCTTTGCGGCTGCGGTTTTTGGTCTCATTCAGTGAGTCCGTGTGACCATTTACCAAGCATTACTTCCATTCATCCATTCATGCATCGTGCGTTCATATTCAAGAGTCTATCCATCAAGTATTTGGCCGATGCATCCACCCATCGACTCAATGTTATCCATTGTTTTTTTCCCAAGTTATAATGTACCTGTTTTTCCCTGTCAAAATGCCAGTAGCATATGTTTAAAGCATATACTTAACATATATACGAATATAACTGATATAAAACATATTTAAAAAAAAAAACATATACATGACATATAAATAAAAAAACTTATATATAAATACAACATATATACATCTATATCTATATATCACCTATGTGTATATATATATATAAAGAACCTATACACATACGAGGTAAATAACATATGAAAAACATATGTTTATATTTATATAACCTTAAAATATGTATGTATAAGTGTGCAACATGGATAGGTAGATAGATAGATAGATAGGTAGATAGATAGATAGATAGGTAGACAGACAGACAGACAGATAAATAGATAGATGGGTAGCTAGGTAGATAGACAGACAGACAGATAGGTAGGTAGATAGATAGATGGACGGATAGATACAGTAGAAAGATAAAAAGACAAATAAATAGATGGATAGATAGAAAGAAAGATAGATAGATTCAGACATAAGAAGTACAGCCTGCAACATATGTACATACGTGCTTGCAATATATATATATATGTGTGTAAAAAAAAAGTATATATATATATAGTGTGTATATATAGTGTATAAATATAAATATATATATATATAGTGTGTATATATATATATATAGTGTGTATATATATATACAGTGTATAAAATATATATGTATATAGTGTGTATATATATATAGTCTACTATATATATTTATATAGTGTATAGATACTATGTGTATATATAAATATATTACATATATATATATATGTGTGTGTGTGTGCGTGGTGCATATACTGTATTTCATGTATCTTGTAGACCCTTTCGCAGGTCCCCGCAACAGGAAATTCATGCTTATTTGTGCGCCCATCCGTTTTGAGGGGGTTTCCTCGCTTGCCCCGCCCCCCAGTTAAATAAACATGGAACCACTACAACGATTTTGCCACACTAAATATACACATATGTTTTTCCCCCGCCTGCCGGGTGAGGGTCTCTAGATTTTATCAGAGCTGGCCTGCGCACCATCAACTGCAAGCTCCAGATCTCAGTGGGCACTGCCAGACCTCAACCGCGAGCTCCAGATCTCAGTGGGCACTGCCAGACCTCAACCGCGAGCGCCAGATCTCAGTGTGCGCTGCCGGACCTCAACCGCTCCGAACGCCAGATAGAATGTCAGAATTCACGTCAGATAGAATGCCAGATAGAATGTCAGAACATATATATATATATATTATTATATTTATATATATATATATATCAGTTTCTATCAGATAAAATGCCCAACAGAATGCCAGATGGAATGTCGGAATATATGTCAGTTAGAATGCCAGTTATAATGTCAGAATATGTGTCTGGGAATCACTCGAAGAAAGTAATGTTTGTTGTATGTCACATGTTAATTGAAACGGGATATATATATATATATTATATAACTATATAACCTATATTACATGTACATATCATACAACATGTAGATATGTATAACATGGTATAACTATATATGTGTATCCTGGTTAGTCGGCAGTCAGATCCGTCAGATCCGTCCTCAGCCTTCAAGTAGCCCCCTTCCACCGACGGGAAGCGATGGCGTCGGATCAGCTGACCTGATCTTGGCATTCCGCAGCAGGCGATGTTGGCAAGTCGAGTGTTGGCAACTGCATATATAGATTAAATAGATAAGTAAATAAACAGATAGACATACAGATAGATAGATAGATAGATTAGATTAGATTAGATTAGATTAGATTAGATAGATAGATAGGTAGGTAGGTAGATAGATAGATAGATAATTTGATAGATAATGAAGATAGATATATAAATAATAATAAATCATGATAAATTAAATAATTAATGGTAAACAATAAATATAAATATAAACAATCAATAATCAAGACGATTAAGGAGTGGCGTGTTTCAAGTTTGTTGTGCATCGCATGGAAACTAAGTATATAATGAAGTACACATATTGAAGGCAGTACCCCTCACATTGGTTCCCAATTCCAGACTCCAAAAAGTTCGCCCAAGTGCGATCTGCTTTGATGTCGATTCTTCTTCCATGTAGGGCATGACCAGGGGCTGACATGGCCACCCTCCGGCCTTGTGGCATGCCGCTGTTCTCGATTTTGGGCTCTTGAATCTGACAAGTATCATCCTCTGAGGCCAGGATTGCGAGGTAAACGGATCTTCTTATCCTCAAATATCTTACTGATTCCATTGGCGTTTATTCATATGGAGATTTCCTGAAATAGTGGTACTCCCAGCCCCCAAATCATCCATTATTAATGGGATATTAATGGTATGTTCCATTATAAACCATCCATTTGGGGATCCAATCAGTCTCCAACATCTTTGGTGAAGTGTCCTCCAAATAGTAGTAGATGATCGCTCTCCTCACGCCTCAGTTGCCCCCTCAAAGCTGGCCGAAAATGGAAGACGCTTCGCTTCAAACCGTGGACCCCATAAGATCTGGACAATTACCCGATTGAAATATACAGTAGGTTAATGGATTTCAATTACCCCATGGAAAATAGGGAAATATGGATTGATATGGATTAATATACGTAGATTAATATGGATTAATTGAAATATTACAATTAGCCTATGGAAAATATTGCAATTTCCCCATGATTCCAAGTTCTCAGGCAGAAATCCCTGCACATCTTACCTTCACATCCACATCTTCCCCATGATTCCAGGGCACGGAAATTTTCGAGGTTGGCTTCCACCACTGACTCCTGCAGTGAAAGGGATGGAGTACCTACCCTTGGAAAAAAATAAAATAAAAAAAAAACACCTCTGGGATGTTGATTCGATATTCAGGCTCACAATCTGTTTAGCGAATCTCCCAGGCATCTCTCAAACATCTGAGTGAGTTTGGTCGCTATTCAATCACCTCACTAGTGTGGTCATGGGTCTATTAAGAAAATACTCCACTTTGGGTCGCCCTATCTTAAGGATGATCATTCGAGATAAAATATGCCTCAGTGCGGTCGGTGAAATCTCAGTTTTCCAACTTACTTTCTTTCTGGCTTAAATATGCTTAAATCACAACTTGCAGTTGCTTAGATCTCAGTTTTCGCTGCTGAAATCCATGAAATTCCCATGTTTCATCATTTTCCCGGCTTAAATTCCCATTTTTCCAGCTGAACCCCTTTGTTCCAGGTGAAATCATCTGAAGCTCCCAGGTGTTTCACTGCTGCGCCTTGAAGTAGCCACTGAAGCGCAGCACGTGCCGATCCAGTGCGTCCCATGCGGGAAGCTCTTGCGAGAGCATGCTGGCACCAGCCTGGGAGCGTCATCACCATAGTTGTAGTTATTACTATGGTTTACAATAGTTATAAGCATGGTTATAATGGTTAAATATGTACAATAGTTATTATCTACGGGTTTTTCAGGAGAGGGTATTTGAGGGGAGGAAGTTTTGAACTTGGTACCTGTATATCCTTACTTTGGGCTCCAACCAGACTTGGGTGGTAAGATGATATTCAACCAAATCACTGCTACTGACAAACCATCAAATCATTACCTAAATCGAGATAACACTGATTCATGAATCCAAAAGACAATGGAGGAACCATGTTGCACTGACTTCAAGTGTCATAAAATAGTTTTCAATACACGAATGGATTTCCAATTCGGCGACGGTGATGATGGCGATTCTATGCCGTTTCCTGGCGCAAACCGACGAGTCACATTGCCGGCTTACGGGAAATGTCCAGAAATCTGTGGATTCGTCCCGGCTCACTCTGCTGAGACTGGCATTGTGTTTCTCGAGCTGAAGAGTTTCAAAGAGGCGCTCTATCCCAAAAGCAGGCGCCTTTGATTGTTACATATATGATTTTCATTATGTGTGGCACTGCCTCAAATATTATAGTTCACCCTTTAAGTGCCATATTAACGATTATAACAATGTTTATACCACATAAACGCTTCACTGCCAATTGCCAATATTAAATCTGAGGCGCATTCACAACATCATTGAGACCAAGACTGCCTCCTTTGCGGAAGTATTTCATGCAATTTATGGCCACCACACCCCCGAACCAACAGTGGTACAGGGCTCGGATGGGAAACGGCAGGCTGAAAAATGGGATGCCTATGTCGCCGAAGGCGATAAAGCGTTTTTGAAAACACCGCATGGGACTGCACAATTTGTGCTGACTTTTTTGGTAGCCTCAACGATGCTGCATTCCAGTTGCTCCTCCACCTACGAGCGTAGGTACTTGACTGCTACCATTTTGAGGGACTTGGTCGACCAATCACTCCAGACAGACGTGGGACGGGTTTGTGCTCTTCCATCTGGCCGTGTGGCCTTGCCAATTGTCAATGGGAAGGTGCGCTGCTACCAGCAAGAGACTTTCTGCTGTCCCTTGCGCAATGTTGAAATGTCAGAAAGGGGACCTTTTGGCTCATGGGAAAAGATTCAAGGTTGTGGTTGATGACTTTCTTCCGAGAAAGTACAACCAGCCAGCAGATGAGGGGTCTCAAGTTGTGGCAAAAGCAATATCCTATCTTCGGGAAAATCCAACCGACCAGGACATCTCTTTGAATATCAAGAGAACATGTTTTTTAAATTTTCAACTGATTATCTATTTGGATGGTTCAATCTGCATTTGATTCTTATGTTGCTTCACTTTGTTCTATCCGTCCTCAGATGACCGGGTTCCAGCCGCCAGGATGTAAAGCCTTCCGGAACAGAAACCGATGAGAAAGCAGTCGCTGCACTGATTGGCATAATGCAAGCTCGGGCATTCTGCTATGATGGGGTTGGAGATTTGTGGGCGGGATGTGTCTTGCAGCGCGGCCTTCTCTACCAAAGGAAGCATGATATGACTGTATTTGTTTGCCTGGGGTTTGTGGAGTACATTGCACTTGGCTGGGTGCTTGAACCGGTTCAGACTGATGCTGAAGTCTCTGACACCTACTACAAGTCACCTAGTTGCAACGATCATCAGACCGCTGTTCGCAATTTGGAGTTTTTGACAGTCACCGGCTTGAGTGGGTTAGAACGCACGGACAAGAACGAGGAGTTTGCAGGAATTCCATTCAAGTTCTGACACTCATCTTTGCTTACTCAGGTTTGTCTTTTTTTGCTTCTTTGTTTGTTTGGTTTTGTTTTTTGTTTTTGTTTTTTGTTTGTTTGTTTGCTTGCTTGCTTGGTTGTTTGTTTGTTTGTTTCTTTGTTTGTTTGTTTGATTGTTTGTTTGTTTCATTGTTTGTTACACTGATTGTTCCATTGATTGTTTGTTTGTTTGTTTGCTTGCTTGCATGCTGCTTGCTTGCTTTTGTTTGCTGGTGTTTGATTGTTTAAAAATCGTTTGCTTCCTTGCTTGCTCGCTTGCTTGCTTGTTTGTTAGTGTTTTTTGTCTATGTGAAATTGTGTGCCACAAACAATAATAAACAATTAATTAATGAAGTCTAGTATTGTTACGTTTAATCTGTATGCCTATTTGACGAGGTTGTTCTGACAACCTTCCACGTGGCCTACGCCATCATGGTTTACTACTACAGCAGACTGGACGCCCTGAATCATTGCTGCGCCACATGCTCGGACATGGTGCCATGGTTGGTATCACCGAAGATCGTTTGCGGCGTATGAATCACCACATCAAATCCGAGATTGTCAAAATGTCTGAGAAGGTAGTTGGGAAAAAGTCCTTGGTTTGGAGTTTGATTCGAAAGGTTTTTGCAGAAAAGACTGAGGACGAAAAAATGGAGATACTGATCAAATGCACAGGCCCACAGAAATTCAAAGATTTTGTGCCTGACGATGTCTTGGACGAAGCCCTCAAGTCTATCCCACATTTAGAGGTCAAGTCAGATTTTGATGGTTTGCGACAGCGGCTTGACCAAAAACTTCTCGACAACAGGTTCAAGCAGGAGGTCACTCGACGGGTTGGAGAAAGAGCTGAGAGGGAGAACTCCACACCACAATGTGTGAAGGACTTGAAACCAAATTGGAAGGGGTGTGGGATTTGTATGGATTTTAACCTGAAATCGTTTGAAGGGTACTACCCGGCTGGCAAGCCCACAAAATCCGTGGCGATGAAATGGGAGGGTTCTTCGCGCAGTGATGGCAAGCTGGCGGCACTGAGCTATGTACTGGACTTTTTGTGGAGCAACCACATAGCAAAGGGACGTGTCTCTTGGCTATTTTTTGGGTCAGTCTGAGCTTTTAGTTGTCAGCTGATCATTATAATTCATAATATAAACATATATATATATTTATTTATTTAGTATGGGGGGGCAATCGAGTCGAGAGACTGACAGATGATGCACTCATAGCTTCAGCACGCACACATACACACACACAGATTATTTACTAGCAGCAGCAGTACACACACACACACTTGGTGACCATAAATTTTGCACAGTTTTTGCTGGTACACAGTCGCTGTGATCAGGACGGAAAAGACCGACCAAGTCAAGAAACTATAGAGTCTGCGTTGGTGCAAGCTTTCACTGAGACACTTACTGGCGATCCGGCTGTGGACACTTCAAAATTAAAAGGCTTGGATGCTGCAGATCAAAAGTATCTGACTAACCCATTTAATTAATGTCAACTTAACTTTGCGGCTAGTTTTGGATAGCATTTTCAGCAGTGAAATTGAGACCCAACGGTTTTTTTTTCCTAGCTCCCTGAAGGTGATGATGACAGTGACTGTGATGAAAAGCCAAAAACTGATGAAAAGCCAAAGACAAAGAGGATGAAACGTGCACCGTCAACTGAACCACCCCGTGGATCTCGAGATGCTGGAACTCCCACGTCTCCGGAGAAAAACGAAAAGCTTGAAAAAGTGTTTGAGGACTTTATGGATGATCTATCTCTGAGTTCAGATGTCCAAGACAGTCTGGACCTTTTTTCCGATGGTGATCACAAAAAGAAAAAGAAAAAGAAGAAGGACAAGAAAAAAAAGATAAGAAGGAGAAACCAAAGAAACCTGGAAAACACCAGGAGAAGAAAAAAAAGACCTAGTCATCAAAGATGACAACTGGAAAACACCAGGAGAAGAAAAAAAGACCTAGTCATCAAAGATGACAATCTCTGGCACGCTTCGGTGAAAAAAATAGTAAAGGGAAAGCGGACCCTGTCATCCTGCAAGCTGCTTGGTGATGCTTGGTTTAAATTCCACATTCTTATAATCTGTATAT